ATATGGTTATGGCATGAGACTCCGGTGATCTAGTTTGCTAATTGCTCGTGATTTGATTTTGCTTTTAGTTAATTGCTCATTTTTAAGTGCTTGTATAGTGTTAATCAACCATCCAATCAATTGTTTAGAATGTTTAGGATTTTATTTTCCCTTTTTGTGATTTGGACAATCATTTAGTAGACAAAGCTCCGAATAGCCTTCCCTCGAGATCGACCCGAGTCGGGTAACTCAGTTATCCTTTGCCCATCAAATCTCTACTAAACAAGTCCTTATCTATGCATGATATTGTGTCGGTCATCTCTCCTGATCCCACATCCTTATCTCCTTCTGGGACTACTATAGTCAGGGGGGTTCTGACTATATGGTGTCTAATGAGCTCTTGGGACGTGGTCATCGGACAAAGTTTCCTTCCGTCAGACTGCATCATGTCACCAATACTATTATTTCCCCCCTTATTCATTCCTCCACCACTTTATCGTCCTCAGGTACACCTTATCCTTTAGCTCAGTTTGTTGATAATACTGTTTTCTCATATGCTCATAAGATTTTCTTGGCAGCTATAGAGGCCTCTGTCGAGCCACGAACCTTTACCGAGGCCATGGCTGATTCTAATTGACGCTCTTCCATGCAATCTGAAATTGAGGCTCTTGAGAATAATCATACCTGGAATCTTGTTCCACTTCCTTCTGGAAAAAATGCTATTTAATGTAAATGGGTGTACCGCATCAAACATCGGTCTGACGGGTCCATTGAACGCTATAAAGCTTGCTTGGTTATCCTTAGGAACAAACAGGTCGAGGGTGTTGACTATACTAAGACCTTTGCTCCCGTCACCAAAATGGTGACTGTTCGAATCTTTCTGGCCATTGCTGCTGCCCGACAATGGGAATTACATCAGATTGATGTTCACAATTCATTTTTGCACGGTGATCTTGATGAAGAGACGTATATGAAATTGCCTCCTGGTTTTTGGTCTAAGTCTTCTGATCTTTTTTTTCGTTTGAAACGGTCTCTATATGGCCTTAAGCAGGCTCCCCGGTGCTGGTTTGCGAAACTAACTACGACACTTCGCCAGTATGGTTTTCTTCAATCTTATGCCGATTATTTTCTTTTTAGATTGTGTCGTGATGGTGTTCAACTGCATGTTCTCGTGTATGTTGATGATCTTATCATCTCCAGGAATAACAATGGGGCTATTTCTTCCATTAAGGCTTACTTAAGTCGTTGCTTTTATATGAAGGATCTTGGCATTTTGAAATACTTCCTGGGATTGGAAGTCACTCGCAACTCCTCTGGCATTATTTTGTGTCAGAGGAAGTATACCTTTGACATATTGTTCGAGGTCGGTCTTCTCGGGGCAAAGCCGACCTCTTTTCCACTAGAGCAGAATCATCAGCTTCCGCTTGTCACTGGTGCTCCACTCTCGGATCCACAAAAATACAGACGTTTGGTAGGAAGGCTTATTTATCTTGCTGTCACCCGACCAGACTTGTCTTATTCTGTTCATGTGTTGTCTCAGTTTATGCACAATCCTCTCCAGGCTCATTGGGATGCTGCTCTTCGGGTTCTGCGCTATTTGAAAGGTACTCCTGGTCAGGGCATTTTCTTCCATGCTGATTCTGATTTACGTCTCACTGCTTGGTGTGATTCTGATTGGGCGGGTTGTCCCCTTACGCGGCGTTCTCTTACTGACTGGATCATCCAACTCTGCTCTTCGCCCATCTCATGGAAGACAAAGAAATAATCTACTGTTTCTCGCTCTTCCGCAGAAGCAGAATACCGCTCCATGGCTTCTACCACTTGTGAGCTGACATGGTTGAAATCCCTTTTGGGATGTTTTGGTGTTGATCATTCGTATCCAGAGCCTCTCCATTGTGACAGTAAGGCAGCCTTGCATATTGCCTCTAATCCGGTGTTTCATGAGCGTACTAAACACATTGAGATTGACTGTCACTTTGTTCGTGACGCACTATTAAAGGGACTTATTTCTTGTCATTATGTTTCTTCTTCGGCTCAGCTAGCATATATTTTTACCAAGGCCTTAGGTGGACAGGAATTCACGAAATTTCTCAGCAAGTTGGGCATTCGGAATCTTCATGCACCAACTTGAGGGGGGGTGTAACAGATAATTATGGAAGATATTTTTTATAGTTATCTTTGGTATCTAGATATTTGCTTTGATATGATTTTATCTCTTGTACTCTCTATATACTAGTACGTACCCCGTGAGATGCACGAGACAAAGATATTAAATGAGTTATTTTTACAGCCTTGTCTGTTAATTTAAGTCTAAAAAGTAATAATCCTATTATCTATTTTTTACCTCTTTTAATCAACGTTAAGTCTAAAAAATTATTAAGCCGCCCTCTGGAAAATATGTATGGAGTTATGTGTTCGTGTCTCATAAATCACGAACATTATGAATAACATTACAAATTATTCAAACTTTTATTCATTAATATATTAAAATAGTTTATATAACAACCATTAAATACCACTTTCAATATATTTATAAATAAAAAGTACATAAAATTTCTGGTGTGTGCATATTTAAATAATTTTTTATGGTCTCAATTTTAAATCATCCAGACATTTGGTCAAATGCATAGGTGGGTTCAAATTTAAATCATTGGCATTTTGATCGGATGAAATTTAACTCATTTACCATGGTACTGCTATGTGTATTATATATATACAATTTTTTAACAACTAATATGTGCTTTATAAAAATAATAATAATAATTTCACAAGATTTTAAACGTAAAATTTGGTTTTTAATCACATAGAAAAATCATGATAAGTTGTATTGAAAATGTGTTATGAGATAAAACAATTAACTAAAATAATTAAATAAATTACTTGATGAAAATAGACAATTATCTTTGACTTTTCTTACTACTAATTCTAGTAAATAGAATGTTTTTTTATATAAGTATAGATTCTCTGTAAACTCTTCCTATGATCAATTCAACAAACTCTCTTCTTCCTATTGTCATGTTCTCTTTTATGAATTTAGCATAGTTTCTTTGCACTTAATTACCTTGATATAAAATTACTGCAAAATAAGTTTGAGAATAAGTTTTCTAATTTCCAATTGGAGATAGATCTTAGAAGAGATATAGTCCATCCATTTAATAAAGAGAGATTCGAATGAAATTCTAGTCCCGTGCAGCTATGCATTTAGGAAATATTATCCATCCATTTAATAATAGAGAAGGTTTGTTAATTTAAATATATAATAAATTTTATTAAAGATGACATTATTATTTATATTTAATCACTTGTACGAGTTTTCCTTCTTATATTGTAATGTTTTTTAATAATTAAAATATTTTATATGCAACATGCAATACCAGTTAAAATATTTATTTAGTTATTTTTAAATAGTATTATATATTGATATGGAAACTATATATATATTTTCTAATTCAAATGAAACATGAATATAATATAATAATTAAAAATAGTTGCATATATGAAATAAATAAATATTTCTAATTTTTTTATTTATTTATTTTTAAAATAAAACCATCTAACGATATATAATGCAAATTAACCGGGATTCGTTTTTTTTTTTTTTTTTGACACAAATCGATAGATTTTCTCATAAAAACAAAACAGATTACAATGTACATTACAAATAGCGAAATCCGAAAGATGGGAGAACCACCTAACTGTGGCCTAGAGAACAACTGAATAGAAACCATACAAGAATAAGGCAGTTATACTCAACTCAAGTCCTTATTCTTGTTCAGTTATAAATATACAAAAGATAAAGCAAATAAAGGGGAAAAGAAGATTAAAAATATACAGCAACTATGAATAAATAACCAACTTTGAGCCCTCATTAGATATAAATTTCTGCCAATCCTGAACAGCAGCTTGGACAACGAGATGGGCTAGACGTCTTGTATGCTCAAAGACCCATAAATTCCGACATTTCCAAAGCCACCAAAGAATGTAGGTGGACAATTGGAGTTGAGCTTCTGCTATGTCATTCTTATCAAGCTGGCAAACCTGCCACCACCAAGATTTAAATGATTCTTGAGGTTGTGGCCCATTCCATTTAACTGGTGAAAGTTTCCAAACTAGTTGAGCTTGTTGACAATGGAACAAGACATGCTCTATAGACTCTTCGGCTTCTCCACAAATTGCACAAGTTACATCTATATCCAATCCTCGCCTTTTCATGTTAATACCCACAGGTAAAGCTCCATTATAGCATCTCCAAATGAAGTGCTTGACTTTCCCCATTACTTTCATCTTCCAGCTTCTATCTCTGACTTTATAATCCAATCCAATGGTATTGCTGCCCTGTGCTGGATTCATCTGGAGAAATTTCTGAAATATTAGATGAGAATATGTTGATTTAACTGAAAAAATTCCTTTCCTATTCAAATTCCAAATCCATTTATCTGTCTGATTGGAATTAAGAGTGGAGATTGTAAGGATTTCATCACAAACTTCAGGAGGAAAGGTATTTCTCACTTTTTGTTCTTGCCAGTGCAAACCATCTGAAGAAAGTTAATCTCTCACCCATTTAATATTCTTGTCAATGCCTGGAAGAAGTGGGACTGGCTTGCCAATGTGGTTGGGGATCCAATGCTTATCCCATATTTTTGTGCTTAATCCATTCCCTATTTCCACTTGCATCCATTTTGCACAGTCCTTTAAGACAGAGAGCCAACTATTCCATAGCCACGAGGCATTTTGCGACTCGTTGGCATCAAAAATACAAGTTTTTGGGAAGTATTTAGATTTCAATACTCTACTAACCAGTGAATCAGGTTGTGTCACTAATCTCCAAATCTGTTTGGCAATGAGTGCAACATTGAATAAGTGAATATCTTGAAACCCAAGGCCTCCACATTTCCTGTTCAGAGTAAGATTATCCCATGCCACCCAATAAATTCCTTTTTGTAAGTCATTGCTTTTAGCCCACCAGAATTGACAGCATGCTTTAGCTATTTCCTTGTATAGACCCAATGGCAAAACAAAACAAGACATAGCAAACACAGGTAAGGCGTTTAAAACTGCTTTTATTAGTACTTCCTTACCTGCTGAGGAAAGCCATTTGTTTTTCCAGCTAAGAATCCTTTTTCTGACCACAGATAGAATGTATTCAAAGGATTCTCTTTTAGATTTGCCAATGCCCAGAGGGAGTCCAAGATATCTGGCGGAGTTGTGGACTTGTATCCCAGCTAGGATGCTACAACATTTGTTTTGCATTTCCTGAGATGTATTCTTCCTGAAAAAAATTGTTGATTTAGCCATATTAACTTGTAGTCCTGTAAAACAATGATAAGAATGCAGAATATGTAGAATATTATATGCTTGACTTTCAGTTGCCTTGCAGAACAACAGGGTGTCATCAGCGAACAACAAATGGGTGAGTAAAGGGCCATCCCTGGACAGTCGAATTCCTTTATAACCTCCTTTTTCTGCTTCATTGGAGATTTTAGCAGATAAAAGCTCAGAAACAATAATAAACAGGTAGGGGGACAAAGGATCCCCCTGCCTTATCCCCCTTGAAGCTGTAATAAAACCACAAACTTTGCCATTTATATTAAAAGAAAATGTTGGGAACTGAATGCAAGCCATAATCCATTTGACAAAAAAAAGAAGAGAAGCCCATTTTTATCATTGTCAACTGAATCGCTTTCCATTCCAAACTGTCAAAGGCTTTAACCATATCTAATTTTAGAGCCATAAAGCAATTATCGCCAGACCTGTGTCTATTTAAATAATGAAAGACCTCATGCCCCAGAATCACATTATCTAATAATTGTCTCCCTAGAAGAAATGCTGCTTGGATTTCTGATATACAATCATTTAAGCAATGTCTGAGCCGTAAGGCCAATATTTTTGAAACAATTTTGTAAAAGATTGCGCATAAACTTATTGGCCGATAATGATTGATTGAAGTAGGATTATTGCATTTAGGAATTAAAATGATAAGGGTGTGTTTCCAGTACCTCAATAGCTGGCCAGATGAGAAGAAACTCTTAACTGCAAAGCAAATGTCATCTCCGATTATCGACCAAAAGTGTTGGAAAAAAATCCCTGTCATTCCATCTTCTCCCGGCGCTTTATCTGGATGAATACTGAATACAGCTTTCTTAACGTCTTCATCCTCCACTGGGGCTGTGAGTATTGCATTCATATCTTCCGTGACTGATTTGGGTATTAGTGGCAGGAGCTCATGCCCTCTTGATGATCCATTGGAAGTAAACAACTTCTCGTAGTGGTCTGTAATCATTTATTCGATTTCAGTTGGATCATCAACTATTCTGTTTCTTTTTGTCACCAGCTTCACAATTGAGTTCATTTTTCAGCGTTGGGCCGCGTAAGCGTGAAAAGATTTTGTATTTCTGTCGCCTTCTTTGAACCAAATCGCCCGCGCTTTTTGCTGCCAATATATCTCCTCGGACAGATTACATTCGTCTAGTTCTTTCTGTAGTTGATCCCAAGATTCCCAATCCCTATCACCTCCTGCTTGTCTCATATCTTGCAACTGCAATGTAAGGCTGCAGATTTTATCGACATTGTCAGCTCGAAAATATTTGCTCCATTTAAGCAATGCTTGCCTGGTTCTTTTAATTTTTTCCTTAATGATGAACATTGGAGTTCCTGTATGTGCTTCTTCCCAGGCGGCTGCGACCACTTTTCTTACACCATCCTTAAACAGCCAACGTTTGTCAAATTGGAAACGTTTTTTAGATCTTGCTATAGCTTCCTTGGATTCTATAACGAGCATGCAATGATCCGATGCACTTTTGAAACAACTTGTGACTTGAGTGGCTGGAAATAGCGTTAACCAATCCAGGGACACAAAAAGTCTGTCGAGAATTTCTTCAACATATCCTTCTCCTTCCCTGTTATTAGCCCATGTAAAGTGAATGCCTTTGTGAGGGATTTGTTGAACTCGAAGTTGAGCTAGGAAATTATTAAACCCCCAGCAGCTTCTGTTGGATCTCATCTTTCCTCCTCTTTTATCTGATGCTGAGCATAAGTCATTCCAATCCCCTGCTATGAACCATACTGTTCCCCAATTTGATTTTTCCTGTAAAAGAAGTTCCCATTGTGCCTCTCTTTCAGCCTTAACAGAACTTAAATAAACAAAAACTGCCCAGCATGATATATTTAGTTGATTATCTCTATGATTCACAACAACAAAAAAAGGTTGACTCACAATCTGTATAATCTCCATCTCCAAGTTCCACAGAAGAAGCATGCCTCCTCTAGTTACTCTCGGCTCCACAATATAATTTCTGTGCTCATACCCCTGCTTATGACAGAGTTTGTGTGCAAAGTTTTTTGATTTCTTAATTTCTGAGAGAAAAACAAATGATGGGTGATGGATTCCTTGATCTGGGGAACTGTAGAGGGCCCACCCAGACCTCTACAGTTCCACACCAGTGGATTCATGGTGACAGTGAGGGCTCTTGAAGGCTGGCCCTCATCTCCTTTTCAAAATTCAGTCTTTGCTTTTTGTCTTGGCTTTCTTCACTCGAAGGATCTTTTTTACTGGCTCTTTGTCTTTTTGCTGGTAACTGACTGAAGCTTTTATTTCTTGCATTCGCTGGGTCACTATGAGTTCTGCCCGCTTCTGTGGATAGTCTTCTCCATGTTTTGATGTGTGGTCTGACATCTTGATGATTCTGTTGTAAAGGAGTTGCTGACTGAGAATGGATACAAGTTATTGCTTCTGCCTTCTCTTCTTCCATTTGCTGCTGGGTGATTTTTCCATGTTCGCTGGAATTCAGGTAATGTATGGGAACCATCACAAGAGCTTGTTGGTCAGTATGTTCCATTGGTTCTGCAGTTTTTTCTTTTGAGAAATTGGATTCGGTGACTTGCACTGCATTCTCCTGCCGCTTGGAACTGCCCACTTGCTCCTGAGAGGCATTTGTTATTGGATTCTGGCTTGTAGAAGGTTGACGGGTGTTAGACTGGGGAGTATCTGAGTCTTTGGCCTTGTCTGTAGAGGAATTAGCATTGTTCCAGCCCTGACCTTGCAAGCCATCAGTTGCTCTCATCCATTCGCCGAATTGGCCCTCTTTGAGAGTATTAGCACTGATATCTTCTATTCGTTGATTGCAGCCTTTTTCAATATGACCAATTTTGCCGTAGTAAAAACAGAGATTAACGAGCCTTTCGTATTTGAATGTGACTGTAACAGCTTGAGAGCCTAATCTGATTGTTGTGCATCGCGGTAGCGCTTCAGTGATATCTACTGTAACTAGAAGCTTAATCAGTCGGCCTCCTTGCGATCCCAGATTGCTAATCAGAACATTTGAAATGGATTTAAAGATTTTACCGATTTTGAGACCAACCTCCGACGTGAGCCAATTCAGCGGCACATTATGGATTTGCACCCAAAGATTGAGTTCATTGAAAGATTTGTCTGTACTTCTGAGGCCTTCTTTCCATTTCCTAAGAATCAGAAATTGATTTTCAAAAATCCAATTTGTACCATTGGCCACTTTCAACATATCCTCCTGATTTTCAAAGATGAATTGAAAGAAATTTATCCCTAGCTCCCTTACCTCCAATGTTCCATTCAATCTCCAGATTTGGCTAATCTGGAACTTGGAACTTTCCAAAGGGGTTTAGCTTTCAGAGTTGGAAAAATCCAGTCTCAGCTCCACCAATCTGCCTTCATTTGCCGGGCAGCCCATGGCTTTTTTTATTCCCCTCAGATGAGCACGTTTCTCACCCACGATTTTCCCAAACAGGCTGTGTCTACATTCGTCAATACTTGCTTTAACATCATCATCTCCGATATCAATAACCGCATTCTCTATGTTTGACAGAGAAAAAGCTCGTAATTTGTGAAAAACCTCCTCTGCTGCATTGTTTTGATTAGGATCATCCATCGTAACCCTAGTTCGCAAGCCCCAAATTGATATTTCTGAGAAAACCTGATAAAGGAAGAGATTGGGTATAAGAAGAAGATGAACTGGAATCAGAAGAGAAAAGTCGGTGCTGAGATCTCCCCTATGAGAGAAAAAGCTCTCCGTTGAGAGAAAAGGCTCTCCTTCGAAAGAATTCCACGTTGTGGATAACCGGGATTCGTTTTATTAATAGAAAAACACATGTATGCATGATCAGGTGTGCTTTATGTATCTCTTTCTCTGTAATGAATATTTTCCTTATATATGCATCACCAACATTTCCTCTCTATTTCTTTCTATCTTTTCAGATCTCTTTCATTAATGTAGATATCAACATTATTCGAGGGTACTTTACAATGCAGACTCCCTCTATACTCTACTTGAACAATAGTCCTCACCACTACTTATCCGACCACAAATCCCTTGTGGTTTTTCACGTTTGACTCCCTCAAACTAAACAGAAAAGAACCTCCGATCACTCTGTTACTATCCCTTACAATAAACCCAACGTGATTGATTTTTCACTCAAATAAAAATAAAAACACAGGATCAGGATATTTTTCACTCACACGAAAAATCGTTTCTTCTACAAGATAATTGTCTCTAATAAATTCTTCCTTCACAAATTCTCACTTAAATCAAGATTTGCATATGGTAAATGATCATATCTTCGCTGCCAAGCCAAGCGCCAAACGGTAAGATCCTGATTTGATTTAGCCATCCTTATTTATGAATCTTCTACTCAACTTAAATATTCCTGATCAACTGGGACAAATGAAAGTTCGTCGATTTACTGCCAACCTTCAAATACTTACAGACGTAAAAGAGAATATTCTTTTGGGTTATATAATGAGTTTTCGATTTTTGGAGATAAATTACTATTCATATGACTATTACTACAAAATGAGTTTGAGAATGAATTTTTCGAATGAAGATGGTCTTAGAAAGATATAGTCCATCTATTGAATAAAGATTTATCATCTAGTCCCCCCACTCTGGTTGAGTAAGCATAACTCGATCCAAGAGTGAAATGTCTCTTCGAGCCGCTTCCGTCAACCTGTCACTGAGGTTATAATTTGAATAAGTTCTCTATCGCCAGATAATCATAAAACTTCCCAATGAGCACCGGGAGACCTTAATGGATCGAAAATTGAATGACCATCCACTGAGATAAATAGTTGAAGGACCTTCGACAGAGGTCGAAAAACCGAAAGCCAAAAGCCGAATGACAACTGAGGTAAAAAACTGAAGCCAAGAACCGAGTGACAGTTGAGGTTGAACACCAAGAACCGAGAGACCACTGAGGTCGAAAACCGAGAATCGGGAGACCACTGAGGTCGAAAATCAAGAATCGAGAGACCACTGAGGTCGAAACCCGAAAACTGAGTAATCGCCAATGAGGTCGAAAACCGAGAATCGAGAGGCCGCTAAGGTCAGAAACTGAGAATTGAGAGACCGCTGAGGTCGAAGACCGAGAATCGAGGAACCACTGAGGTCGAAAACCAAGTAACCATCGATGAGGTCGAAAGTCGAGAATCGAGAGATCACTGAGGTCGAAAACCAAAAACCGAGTAATCACCGATAAGGTCAAAAGCCGAGAATCGAGAGACCACTGAGGTCGAAAATTGAAACCGAGTAACTACCGATGAGGTCGAAAACTGAGAATCGAGAGACCACTGAGGTCGAAACCTGAAAACTGAGTAATCCCCAATGAGGTCGAAAACCAAGTAACCACCGATGAGGTCGAAAGTCAAGAACCGAGACTTAAGTCGAAAACCACATGCCCGATCTCCCAAAGCCTTGAATTTGAAAATTTGAACTTAAATCTTCTACATTTTCAATAACCTTGTTCGATCTCTCTCCTCTCAATGATAGGCCTTTCCGATTACCTCATCCTATCGCCCCCTAGTTCAAAATTAAAATTCAAGCCTGCTGTATATATTCTTAAAACCCGCACGACTGACTTCGTGAACTGTTCTGAATGAACTCCCTCGACCTGCCACCGAGGTCAAAAAATAAATTCGACAAGGCTAAACCAAGCAAAAACCATCAACCTGCTCGTGCCGTAATGAAACCCATATACCTGCCCTTGAAGTCGAGAATTCAATTCGACAAAACCAAAATAAAATGCAATCAACCTGTTCGGGAAGTTATGAATATCCTTGAAAAAAATAATTTCGACAAGACCAAACCAAGCAAAAACCATCAACCTATTCGAACAATAATGAATACTATCGACCTGCCACTGAGGTCAGAAAAATCAAATCCAACAAAATCAGAATTAAATAAAAATCATCGACCTGCCACCGAGGTCTACTCGAGCTATCCGTAATGAAACCCATCTACCTGCCCTTGAAGTCGAAAAATAAATTCGACGAAACCAGAATCAAGTAAAGATCATCGACCTGCCACCGAGGTCTGCTCGAGCTATCCGTAATGAATTTGATCGACCTGCCACTGAGGTCAAAAGCACAAAGTCCACAAAACGAAATCAAATAAAACCATTAACCTGCTCGACTATCCATAATGAGCTTGATCGACCTGTCAATGAGGTCAAAAGAACAAATTCCACAAAACCATATCAAATAAAACCATTAACCTGCTCGAGTACCCGTAATGAGCTTGATCGGCCTGCCACTAAGGTCAAAAGCACAAATTCCACAATACCAAATCAAATAAAACCATTAACCTGCTTGAGCTATCCGTAATGAGCTTGATCGACCTGCCACTGAGGTCAAAAGCACAAATTCCACAAAACCAAATCAAATAAAACCATTAACCTGCTCAAGATATCCGTAACGAGTTTGATCGACCTGCCACTGAGGTCAAAAGCACAAATTCCACAAAACCAAATCAAATAAAATCATTAACCTGCTCGAGATATCTGTAATGAGTTTGATCGACCTGTCACTGAGGTCAAAAGCACAAATTCCACAAAACCAAATCAAATAAAACCATTAACCTGCTCGAGATATCCGTAACGAGTTTTATCGACCTGCCACTGAGGTCAAAAGAACAAATTCCACAAAACCAAATAAAAAAAAACCATTAACCTGATCGATCTATCTGTAATGAGCTTGATCGACCTGCCACTGAGGTCAAAATCACAAATTCCACAAAACCAAATCAAATAAAACCATTAACCTGCTCGAGCTATCCGTAACGGGCTTGATCGACCTACCACTGAGGTCAAAAGCACAAATTCCACAAAACCAAATCAAATAAAACCATTAACCTGCTCAAGATATCACTGTAAATTTAAAAACCAATCAAATTATTTATGTTATTCTCTTTCCACTGATCGGGTCTATATTTTATGTCGAACTAAAAAAGATCTATATTTTATTGCTTGAATTATTTTTGTCAAACAATTTAAAATATGTTAAATTGAAAAACTACTAAAATAACATTGTCCAAAATATTAGGCAGATTTTCATATTTTTAGTACATATCAATATAAAGAATTCGTACAAATCATGGTATAACTTTCAGGGATTTTCCAACTAAAAATACTGATAACTTAATAACATTTAAAGCGATATTCCTTTTCAAATAATTGGTTTATAAATATTCATTTACAATAATGTTAAAAAAAAACTTTTATAAATATTTATTACTCAGTTTTAATTCACTGCAAAAATTATATGTATATTATAAATGTTTGCAAAATACCTGTCAAAATTTTATGTCGAACTAAGAAAGACTTATGGTTTTTTTGTATTATTTTCTAAATCAATTTAAAACTAAAACTACCAGAAAACCATTGTCTATAAAATTAGCCAAACATCTATATCCTTAGTAGATATCAATACGAAGAATCCACATAAATCTTGGAATTATTTTGAGCAATTTTCCAACTAAAAAAGAAATTAATTCCTACCCGTAATAGTATCATTTTCAGCAAATTAGTATAGATTGGAAGATATATGAATCTTCTTCGATTTTAAAAAATTATATGGTTGGTTTCTTAACAATTTGGATATAAACTTAATAAATAACATTCAATTTTTTTTTCTTTTTATTATTATTTTTTTTTGTGTATTCTATATCACTATCCAAAATATATACTGAATTCCTGAAAATATGCACGCTTAGTTACCTAATTCTCTGGAAACAAACATAATCAACATAATTCTATGAAAACAAACATAATGAAGGAGCGTCAGTTCTCAATTAAGGTTTCTTACGTCATGACTATAAATAGAAGACAAAGACAGTCATTATCCCATGTTGGTTTAGTTTTAAAGGACCAAATACATGTTGCTCCCGTGTCACCAATCTAAACTGCTTGAAAATATTAGTTTGGGGGTGACAATGACTCTCCAACAAATCAAATAAAAGATACTATATAATAAAGAGGTTTATAATATATATGATATAACTTTCACATATTACTGTCGAGTTGTGTATTATTGTCGTATGTATAATAATTCTTTCACAATTTAACATCTTTACAATTTTAAATATTTCACTTTAAATCTATTGTCCCGTGCATCGCACGGGTCGCGACTAGTTATGGATATGTAAGAGAGAAGGTTTGTTAATTTAAATATCTTATATATTTTTTTTAAAGATGACGTTGTTATTTATATTTGATCACTTGTACAAGTTGTCCTTTTTACTAGTGTTAAACTCGTGCGATGCACGGGGAATATGGTTCAATAACAATAATTATCCTAAATTAATTAAATATTTATATTTTTTGCAAATCAATTGAAAAAAATGAAATTTATTTTAATATTATTAAAAATTCTATTATAAATAGATTGATGGTATGACCGGTCACATGGTATTCACAAACTAATATTTTTTAAATCAAGATCACTGTTGCGTCTGATAGCACAAAATGTAGTTTTCCATTTATTGAAACATAATAGGCCGACGTGTATGTTACTGATGGTCATTGCCTCTTTTAATACTCATCAACCATCACATAGGAAATCACAAGTGGTAATTGATGCCACATGAATTATAAAACTATTTGCAGATCAAAAGGAGACATTTTTGTAGATTTTTG